AGTGATGGTCAATGAGATCTGCTTTCTAATGGCCTTAATAAACCTTGGTCTTTATATTCTAGTTGTGAAACAGGTTTTTGCATAAATATAATTTTTTTTATTTCTAGGGTTAAAATTATTTTATCCTTCCTTGCAAATGAAAAGTGATTAGTATGCCTCACTGAGCTGACTTTGTGTGGTATATATTGTTGGTAACCAATTAAACCCAAGTTTGGGTTTAATTTCCACTAAGATCCACTATTCAACAGAGGCAGAATGGGGTACTGTCAGGGAACGCGATATCCTTTTGCCTCTATTTGGTGTGCGTGCTCATGCACGCGCTTGCCAGGGAGCATATTGTGACCTTACCTGAAATACGGGAAAGCCTTTGCGGCTGTGCATGGACCATGCTGGCTGTGAAGACAAAACTGGGCAGGTGAGGAACTGACACTCCCAAGAGAAAACAGAGATGGATTTGTACAGCTTTTCTTTCAGCACGCTGAGTGACTGAACCACAGGCCTTTTAGCATCGGCTGCTCGAGAGCAACTCTGTCCAAAGGTACTAAGAAGCCCTGAATGGTTATGTTGAAAGAAAAATAAGATAGTTATGTTTCTCTGCAGACTCTCAGATGGCCTTGAGGTGTGCGGAATTGCTTTGGCTGCCGTGGGAATGCGGGATGAGAATACCAGCTCTGGAGGAAGCAACTTTTCCTCATTCTGGGTGTCCCAGTCAGTAAAACAAAGTACTGTGAAAACAAGTTGATATATTTGCTACTGTGAGAATAAGTTTATCTGGAGTTCTTTATATGATACTGTGTATTTTTATATATGAAGAGTATATATAAAACATACACGTGCACACATCATGGATCTCTTGGAGTTGCTGTGTCTTTAGTAACAGAGCTGCCACCATCGTTTTCATGTGACGTAGGAGAGTGAATATGAGTGAAAGCTGCAAAAGGAAGAAAAGTGCAAAGGGTGGCTGCTGTGTTACTTGTCTAACGTGGTTCTTTCGAAAGGAAAATCGAGGAGATTGTGTGTATAGCTAAATTAGTGACCAAGGCATTACCTAAGAGCATCAAAACTATTTTAAAGTTGCTGGCATTCAGCTTTTAAGTGCACTTTCCTGAACTACACTTCCATTTCTTGTTAGACTTCAAGTTTCTAAAGCTTTTTTGTGTACCACTAAACAGAGAACTTTAACTTTTTTGTGAAACTGATGTACGTCAAAATACTTGCCATTCTTAAATAAACAAATGTGATAACAGTGACTTTGCAGATCTCCTTGAGCACTGCATTATTAGGTATTCATACTTAGGCTTTAGTTTACTTGCTAGAAGTTATGCTGCTTCTGCTGGTCGCTTTTTGTGGCTGTAGGCCCCTGTCACTATTTTTAAAATGTTTTAAAATGCTTATATTTGCTGCCCCATCATCTCTCTTTGTTTAACTTATTAAAAATCTGTTGATCACACATTGGTTTTAATTCCTTAGGTTCAGTATCACTCTTTAAAGCCTTCCAGCAGAACATTTTCGGAGGGATGTGTTCTGATTCCTAGGCTGTAACTGAAGCTCAGTCCCTTTGCTATGGACAAAATTTGAAGTACAGTTTCCAAGACTACTTCCATGGACTTATTTCTGCACTTAATTTCTAGACATAATTTTATTGTGATTTGACCCCTTCTGCCATTTACCAGAGCCACTTCCTGGATGCTGCTTATATGGGATTTTACTCTGGGGTAAGCTGAATGAAGAATCAGAATGGTCAAGAAAGGACTGAGCAGCAGCAGGACTCAGTGACTGCACAGTAGCTGAAACCCTGGCTGTCCTGTCTTCTGCCTCTTGCCTGGGTCAGTCTAATCTTGTTACAAGCAAATCCACAAGGAAATAGAGTTTAATGGAAGGCTTCAGCTTTAATGGAAACGAAACAGCGTGGCTGTTAAGTTCTTCCTTTAAGCAGTTAGTTTCTGATGGATAACGAGGTCCTTCGATCTGCACGCTGCCTATGGTTTCAAGGCTTGGCAGAGTGCGAGAGGAAGGGGACTGGAGGCAATCCTGAGGGTTACTGGTAAGACACGTTCTGTGAGCACTACCCACGTGCTGCAGGATGGTCCGAGAAGGGCGGCTTTTAATGGAGGGCACAAAGTCATTCCCGCTGGCTGGGGCAGCTGCCTGCTGCAGGCTGTATGCAGGGACAGGATCTGCGTATGGTCCCAGCTTTTCTGCTCGTGCCATCTCTGATGGAGCATTTATGGCCTGGCAATGGTTTGGTTTGTTTTTGCAGTATTACTGCTAGAACTTGATTTCTCATCACTGTTTTTTGCACGCAGTTGAACTTCTGTGAGTGTGAAAGCATGTTTACAAAGCTGAGGTTGGAAACAGTACTGCTGTTTCAGCTGAAGCGGAGTCAGAATGGACCTTTCCTTTTTTTGTTCAAGACACAGCAACAGAAATGGCTGGAGCTCTTCAGAACAAGGCACTGCTTGGAAACTCTCTACATCTCGAGGTGGTAGGTTGCAAAGCTGAGCTCATCAGAAGATTAAGCTAGAGCTGCTCCTTCAGAAGCACATACAGGTCACTAAGTACCGCTAGCAGAATACAGAACATAAAATACTGGAGTGGAATTCACTGGGGGAGATGCAAGAATGATGTCACTCTAGTAAACCTCCAATGAACCAGAATTTATTTACAGGTTCAGTATGTACACAAAAGACCATCATGCAGCTTGATAAATTTTGTCAGGGTAATAGAAATGTACAACTTTGCCGTCAGTTTCCTCATCCAGTGAAAACTGCTACAGCAGTTAGTTTACATTAAAAAATTACATTGGCAAACTATCAAGTCAGTATGCTTTCAATACACCAACACACATTCTTCAACTATTATTGTTCACATAACACTGGAAACTGGCTTTTATACTTGCAGGTTCCTGTCAGGCTTCAGTAGTACTAATTAGTGCACTTGAAACTTGCTTGGCTGTCAAGTTTAAAAAAATAAAATAAAAAAATCAGTCTTTACACGGAAAGGCTCAAAGGTCTGGGGGTTGAATGCAAAGTCAGTTCTTGCTACCATTTGTTGAAAAAAAGCCAAAACAAACCAACGACTGAATTTAATTGATGGTTAGGATTACTCTCCAGCACACCAGTAGAGGAGTTAGTGTCCTGCCTCCTCTGTCCCCAGTGAGTGTTCAGATGCCTGACAGTAAATTTCTGTCACTGTTCCTCATGTCATTGGCCCATCCCTGATGAGAAAGGCTGAGGGAGCTGGGCTTGCTTTGCCCTGGGAAAGAGGCAGCTTTGTGGGGATCAAACAGCAGCCTGCCAGCACGGGAAGAAGCCAGCCTCTCCCCCACCCTCAGCATGCTGAAACCCATCACAGGAAAACCCTCTCTCCGAGGAAAGAGGCAGTAGCACGCCATTGCCAAGGCCAACAGGGCATTAAGGGCGGCTTTCAGCATGCTTGCCTCAGGTTTTCCTACCCCACTGCCAACCCAAAAATCCACATAATTCCAATCCTATTTGAAAAACTGGCACCCATGGAGCTTAATCCTGCTCAGCTACAGCTATCTAACAGCCTGCGTATTTCACATCCCCTTAGTGCTGAGTTTATAAGACGTGGTTTCACGACAGATTCTGAAACCCAAGGCCACCTCGTTACTGTGGAAAGCACATGGCAGTAAATAATTGTCAGTAACAAAGTCTGCAAGTCCAGTATAACACATCACACATGGAAAGGCCAAAGTTCAGCGACGCGAGTCCACAGCAGGTTCCCTACTCCGGGCGTGCTACTTCATCTTGTTAAAAAAACGTAACTTAAAAAAAAAAAATCCTTAGCAACTCATACCGATTGTGAGATAGTAACAAACATGAACGCGCAGCATTCTGCTACCGAAGTACTTTTGAATACTAATTCCAAATTACTGATGGGATCTAGTGAAACTTCTTGAGTCATGGCACTACCCACAGTGGGGAAGGCGATTTTAAGATTTGAAATAAGACATAGCTATGGTGGATGATGTGTGATCTCATCTTCCAGAAAAGGCAAAACATCTTGTCCAGAAAAGCAGGAGAGTCCAATGCATTGTTTTATGGGTTACTGTCCCGCTGCTGAAGCATGAGCACATCACTCACACAATGACTCTGAAGGACGCAACACACCAAACCATGGTGAGTTAGATCCAAGAGCAGGTCCCACAGTTACCCTGGTTTTAAACGCAACCTGTCGGGAGCTGTTTCTTAATTACGCACTTGAACAAAACCTGGTAACTGGGCCTGTCAGCTCAGCAAGTTGTCTGTGTTTACTGAGCAAAAATATAACGCTGCAATCGGAATGCTTAATTTCACAGCCCACCTGTTCATTGTCCCGCTCCAGGAAGACCTGTTTTGGACTTGATTGCAGAATGGGAAGTGGCTGAGAAGGAAACGCATCCCAGATCCTGGGCAATGCTGTTGGTTTTTTCAAAACTCCTGATAATATACTGTCCCTGCAAGTGGGTAACAGTCCAGAAGTCAGAAATGAACTGCCTCAGTGCTCAACTTCATAGTTCAGCATGTTTGGCAAGGTCCACGCCCTCCAAGTCGGAACTCCCATGGCCATGCCTCTGAAATACAGTGGGGAAACAAGTTCAGTCACTTGCTAGGCATATGAAATAAGCAACTCTTACCTTATTTTTTAAAAATTCAAATCAATGCTTAATAGGCTTGAAAATAAAGTCTGAGGAAAAGGCCATCTAGAAACAAATCCCGATGACTGCTTGAGTCTGTCAGAATTGTGAAACAGAGCTGGAAGTGAGCTGGCAGATCTGAGCCTCACACAACCCAGCAGTAAAAGGTGAGCGAGACCCTGACATCAAGATAACTACTTTTTTATTTACATGCACTTACTGCACCAGTCAGCATTTTCTTTGAGGAAGCTAATTAGGGGGGTTGATTGCAACCTGCGTCAAGTTAAAACCAGGGTTTATTTAACCCTATACTTGTTGGAATATCCCATTCCTGTGAGTATGAAAACTGCTGTACCTTCCCTCACAAGTCTGTGCCGTACTCAGGACAGGGCTTGCTGTGTCTGTATTGCATGATGTACACGGTGGACTGGTGCCACCAGTACAGCATCACAACTGCCAGGACGTGCCATACTTGGTGACTAGAGCCGAGGTAGTTCAGCTGTCCTGCGGGGAAGAAAAAGGGCAAGTGGTTCAGTTGTTAAATTCAACAATAACTCGTGCAATGCAATTAGTGATCAGTCTCCTCAGCTCAACTATACACTCAGCTTACTGGGAGGCAGTGAAAGTTCTTTAATGAACTTGATCAGAAGTTGTCTGCCGCCTTTCGATGCAAATACACACAACGTTTTACTCTATATGAGAATACTTCATGTAGAACAGAGACAACCTGTTCTCCCACAGGAAGCTCAGGACTCCCAGCAAGGACTCTGACACTGCAGGAAGCTTTAACTGCAGAAAAAACACCCAGAAGAGGATTTCCTACCTGGGAAGTATCTTTCTGGAACTTTGGAAATATAGAAGAGAAAAGCTACAGCAGCGATGAAGTACATGACAACTACACGCGGAGCAAACTCCTGCAAAAGAAAATTAAGCTCTCCTGTTCTGTTAGAAGGTAAAAATAGAAAAAACAAAACAAAAACCCAAACAAGTCTCTGACGATACAAAAGGCATGACAAAACTGAATCTTAACTCAGTGCTTATGTTATCTATGACAAAGACTTTTGTTTTCCTTAACAGAAAGTTTTGTTACCAAAAGCGGAGCATTTTTCTGAAGTCTGAAAACAAAATCAGTACTGTGCCTGCCCTTCTGCTATACTGGGCCAAACTACATGGGGTAAGATGGTGCTGGAACCACTCCCGTTTATCTGCTTTTGAGAAGGCCAGTGCTAAGTGCCTTGTTTAAGTCCATCTGTGTTCACAATGTTGCTCTTCCACATTCAGCAGCAGCCCTGGGCTGGGCTCAAGCATGGCCCCAGGTGACAGTGCTCCAGCAGGACCAGTCTAAGAACTTGCAGTTACTGCTTACTACAGAAAGGAAATGTTTTCTTCAACACAATGAGGTCCCTGGGTAATTGCAATGATTGCTGGGGTTCTCCTGTTGGAGCATACTTTACTGACTTTAGCTGTGCTGCGTCTTGTTTTTCAGAGCATAATTCTAGGTGGTAAAGCAAGAGCGGGAGAACAGTTCAGTAACTTCCCAGTGATGTCAAATGAGGGCTGTGTAAGAGAGAGGGCTGAGTAGGCAAATACTGATTTTTGCTGCAAACCCAGAGAACAGAAGAGGAAGCAAATAATCACCCTATCAGTGTCTTTTGGTTCTCCTCTCGAGCCGTGGTGGTAGACAGCCCCGAGCACTGGTGCAGCCTGCCAGACTGCTTCCTGCTCTGCAGCCGACTCAGCTCTTTGCTCCTGTCCCTCGCCCTGGGGTGGGCGAGGGTGCGCTCCACCTACACAGGCTGCTCTGTCCCTCAGGCAGGGGTGCACAGTCATAGCTCTCAATCAGTAAAACAAATTTAAACCACTCAACCTGTCTACTGGTTCTCCATAAATTTGTGTTTGCATGTGGATCATATCCTCTGAAAGAATTCTGTGCTTAAAGAAATTTTAATTACCACTGCTTTCCCCTCCCAGGACTGAAGGAAGATGCCAAGTGAAAAGCAAGAGGGAATCTTGTTTCCTTCTTTTTTTCTTTTACCTGTACAATAGATGCACCAATGCCGCCATTGAGCCAAACCCAGTGGACAGTGGGAATAATTCCATATCCAGACACGGAGCAAAAGATGATGGAGCGCAGTCTCTGCCACTGCTGCGTGAGGTAACTGGGATGAATCTGAGCAAAAAACACTGCCAAGATCATTGCCAGCACAGTGATTAAATAGACCTGACGCCAGTACTGAGAAAAAAAGAAACAAAAGCAAGTTTGTGGGTTTTCTCACCATGCGCAAAAGCAAACTCTGGGTAGAAAGTTGACATTACTAAGATCTCAACTGCAAGCAAAGTTCTGCTCTTGTCAGAAGGAACTTGTTTCAGTGTCCCTCTCTGTCTCCTGACCCATGTTCAGTTTGGACACTGTGCAACGAACCCCCTTCCTAAGGCATGGAAACAACAACAGTGAGACCACAGGTACTAAACGTTACATGAGCAAGTGCTTAAAACTTACGTTACTACAATAAAACGCATAAAACACGCCTGACACGTAGCAGCCCAGGATACCGATGGAAATCCCTGCATAGTCTAATGCCATCCATCGTCGACTGGTCTTCTCTGAGCGGTGACAACAGAAGAGATGATATCCTACTGAGCAAAGCATACAGACCTAGACAAATATTCAAAGAGGGATGCATTAATGTATTGGAAACTGACAAGGATTATAGCAAGCTCCAACTCTGAAGGTGAGAGCATTAAATTAACCTGTTAGGTGATTTGCAGTGCAGCTTGGTGTAGGCAATGATTCCTGCCAGTAATCACAGAAACTAACATAAGCTTCTTTGGCATAACGAAGAACAGAAAACTTTACAAGACTTGATAACCCCAAGCTGCACAGCTAAGAAAATGAGGCTGTTGAGGCCTAGACGATGAGGCCACGAGAGGAGCAGGGTCATGTCTGCGTGACTACAGGGGGAGGATGACTTCTGCTTGGGCAAACTACCGCAAGCCAAAAGCAAAGCCCAAACCCACCCTGTTACTTTACAGAGGGAACACATAAGAAATTGAACTCCTACGCACAGGGCACTTATTTGGTTCTAGGCTGGCATCAACTTTTTTTCCCTGAGAAATGTATTTGATGTTTCTCTACAGCTCTCAACAGCAGTAGGGAAGAGCACAACAGCAGTGCTTTCCAGGCCAGCAAGCAAATTTTTTCCTGCTTCTAGCTATGCAAAAGTGTTCTGTTCTCTTCAGGGAACATGAACAGTATTCTTCCTGCTTTTTTAGGGACAGCATATTTTACAAGAGCTTTAGCAGTTGAATTATGACACACTTGAAGGCTGCTGTTGAGAACAGATTTAATCTGACACAGAAACTCTTGCTTGCAGCAGGTAAAAAGCTAGAATACAAGCCCCAGTGTCAGTCCAGACCCTCATCAGGCCCTGGCTGATTTTCACATTTTAGCTGCTGACCCCTGCTAGCAATAACTGATGCTGTCTGGGAGCCCCATCAGACCCGAAGCGCACACCCCACACCCAGCTGACGCTCTGAAATACAGCCTCGGCCCTTTTAGTTGTTTTTCACTGACTTTATCAGGGAGTGTAGCAATAGGACAAGGAATAATTATTTTAAGCTGAAAGGGGGGAGATTTAGATGAGATATTGGGAAGAAATGTTTTCCTGTGCGGGGGGTGAGGCAGTGGCCCAGGTTGCCCAGAGAAGCTGTGGATGCCCCATCCCTGGAGGGGTTCAAGGCCAGGCTGGATGAGGCTTTGGGCAACCTGGGCTAGTGGGAGGTGTCCCTGCCCATGGCAGGGGGTGGCACTGGATGGGCTTTAAGGTCCCTTCCACCCCAAACCATCCTAGGATTCTGTGCTCTCTCCCAAGTCAGCCGTGCTCAGTCCTCCCCGCTTTATTCCAAGTATTGAAAAAGGGAAGATCCGCTCCCCGGTGAGCCCAGCATCCCCTCCCAGCGCAGTGCAGCCCCCCAGGCGTTTCCCCGGCCTGGCCGCGGCCCTCGGGACCCCTCCTGCGGGGCAGCGCTGCGCGCGGGCA